CTTCATCTCGTCACGTAGGCATCTTATCAGCTCACGTTATCACAAAAAGAAGGGTGTGTCCAATACAGTAAGATATTTTGGAGAGAGACCACATGCACATAACTTTTATTACAGCATATTGTAATAATTTTTCTGTTTTATTATTAGTTATCAATCTCTAACTGTGCCTAATTTATAGATTAAACTTTCTCATGTATGTGTACGAAAAAAACATTGTGTGTGTGTGTGTGTGTGTGTGTGTGTGTGTGTGTGTGTATACATACAGGGTTTGTTACTGTCTGAGGTTTCAGGCATTCACTGGGATCTTGGAGTGTATCCTTATGGATAAAAGGGGACTGCCCTACTTCCAAATAATTAAGCATGTGTGGCAACTTTGAATTTTGCATTTCTAATGAATTCTGATGTAATTTGGCTTATCTTTGTGACCCAACACATGATTGCTTCTCTTTAGGAGATGTGTGTGTGTGTATATGAAATATTAAATCTAGCATAGCGACGATATTATTCCTTTGTTCTTACTTGCCTTAGGTGTGTCCAACTCTAAAAGCAAACCGGGAGTATGGGCGACTGCTGTCCTCCTACAATACTGTGCCTGTTCCTGTGCTGAAGTGTCACTTGTTTTTCTTTCAAATCTGCCCACCATCTTGTACTTGGTGCTCAAGTGCTGTGCTGTTGGAGGCCTCAAGTTTAAGATTGCTACACCTTTTCCTACACTGTGTTTTTTATCATTGCATAATATCCTGGGTAACCTCATCAACCCTAACGCTCACCTTGTTGTCTACAAATGTCCTCACCCCTGCTCTCCTTTGTTTGCTAGCCCTCCAGCCATCCCCTCTTTAGCCTTTGCCTCTGGTGTTTTTCTGCCAAACAACCAGCTGGTTCTCTTTCTTTCTCGCCCTTCTTTTAACTTTTCTTTTTTCCCTACGCTGACACTCTGGCTTTCGATGGAAAAGGGCAGTTCGTTCTCATTTCGTAGAATGACGAATAGACTGGATTTTCTGTCGTCTGTATTTTTCTTTATTATTGATTTTACTTTGCAGTTTCCTCTTGCTGCCTCTTCTGCTTGGCAGACTTATTAACTTGCTGTTTTCCACCTTTTCTGGAAAGTTACTGTTTACGTTTCCTCAGTTATTTCGGTCCCTCCTCATTTCTCTGTGATCGGAAGATGAAATTCCAGCTATGTTTTGCACCGTCGCTGTGTAGCTCCCCCCAGCACGAGGCGAGGCCGTGAGAGCTTTGGTTTCTCCCTCTCCTGCCGCCTTCTCTTGCTTAGCCGGAGTGCGTCGGGGGTGCTCACCCCTCTGTCCCCACAGACTCCCGACTTCTTGGTGTTGCTGAGATAGTTTGATGCTTTCACTCTAACAAACGATGAGATTTGCTCCCTTAGTGTGTCCTTTTTACTTCGAGAATCTTTATTTGGCCCTTATTTTGCACCCCCATTCCATCTAACTATGTAAACAGCCACACACAGTTACATCCTGATAGATAACTGTCTATCTGTAGTTAAGTATATATCAATATAATATAGATAGATGAAGAGAGGGTGTTTGTATACATTTAAAAATTTATTTATGGCACAATGCTAGTGGTTTGTTGTCCTCCCCCTTCGCCTGGCAGAAACCTCTTTTCTGATGCATTTTCTGTTTAGATAACGTTCTTTTGTGAGTATGTTCCTCCTGGAGTGAACATTTCATTTGGGTGAAATGTTCTCTGAACTTTTGCATTTCCTCGATACCATTTTTTTTTCACCCTGATGCCTGAGGCATAGCTTATTGGTGTACAAGGTTCTTGGGGTGAAGTTCTTTTTTTCAGTAGTCTAGAGAGGTTACTCTGCTATCCTTTGGTTTCTAATGTTGCAGATGGGAAGACCGAAGCCAGGTTTATTCTTCTGTTCCTTTTTTTGGAGGGGGGTGGTGGTGGTAACTTGTTCTGGAAGGTTTCAGAATGTTTTTATTACCCTTTGGAGATCCGGCACTTTGTTCAGAATGGCCAGATGCGTGTCTTTCCTCGTTGATCTCTCCCGGGATTCAGGAGCCCCCCGCTTTGTCCAAAAACCTGGGTCTTTCTTCTATTATTTGTTTAATTATTTCCTCTTCTCCATCAGTTCCTTTTTCTCTGTCTGGGACCCTGGATAGTCACATCTTCTGTGGCCTACCTCTGTTCTTCAAATCTCTCTGTTCGCTTTTGTTTTTTATTTTTTTTTTTAAATTTTTTTAAATTTTTTTTTTCAACGTTTATTTATTTTGGGGACAGAGAGAGACAGAGCATGAACGGGGGAGGGGCAGAGAGAGAGGGAGACACAGAATCGGAAACAGGCTCCAGGCTCTGAGCCATCAGCCCAGAGCCTGATGCGGGGCTCGAACTCACGGACCACGAGATCGTGACCTGGCTGAAGTCGGATGCTTTTGTTTTTTAAAGCTGCCTTTTTTGTTCACGAGTTCCTCTATGCTCCATGTCTTTGCTCTGCTTTTGAACTTGTTTTTCTAATTGATCTTTCCTAATACTATTGGTTTGCTGTGTTGACTACCAGTCTTTCAGTTCATTTACTGAACTTTAGAATGTGTTTAGTTCAGTAATCGTATTTTTGGATCAGAATTTTGCATGTGTGTGCAATCTTCATAAGTGTTTTTTTTAATGTTCTGTTCAAATGGATGCCTACAACACAAGCACCGTTCATCCTCTCCGCTGCCCCCAGGCCATGTCATTTTACATACTGGGCACATTTAGGCTCTGCTGTGGGCACAGGGCGGTCCCATCAGTGATGGAGCAGTGACGAGTGGAAGGCAGGCTGCTGGTTCCCCAGGCTCCTGTTGCCCTCTCAGCCTTCTTTTCTGCTCCTCTGGGCTTATTCTGGGGATGAGGAGTCCTTCCTGTGCAAGTGGAGGGGTAAGAGGTGGGAATGTGTGCTTGTATGTGGGATAAGCTCTTCCGGGGATCCAGAGCTGTCTGCCTGTGCCCTAGGGCTCCTCAGCCTCTTTTCAGAGCCCCTGTTCCACTGCCCAGCTGCCCCTGTCCCAGAACTCACTTATCCTAGCTGGCTGTGAGTCCCCCCCAGCCGCTGGGCTCAGAAGAGGCTGGTGGATCGGATTTGGGACAGAGAAGGCATGACAGACATTGAGGGTAGGTCTCTCCAGAAGCCATCTCCAAACTATGATTGCTTTATATTTGTAAAAGTGAATCACAGTCGTTGTCAAAAGGAGGACGGGGGGAGGGCAAGCCACTACAGAATGGTACAAAGTGAAAAGTAAAAGAGTCTCGTTTCTGTCCATTCTCCCAGGGTAGCCGCTGTTAATAGATTAATAGATTGGCAGGTCCTTCACATATTTTCTATTTCCTTACATACTTATTTCTTTAAAAACATGAATGGGGGGGCGCCTGGGTGGCGCAGTCGGTTGAGCGTCCGACTTCAGCCAGGTCACGATCTCGCGGTCCGTGAGTTCGAGCCCCGCGTCAGGCTCTGGGCTGATGGCTCAGAGCCTGGAGCCTGTTTCCGATTCTGTATCTCCCTCTCTCTCTGCCCCTCCCCCGTTCATGCTCTGTCTCTCTCTGTCCCAAAAATAAATAAATGTTGAAAAAAAAAATTAAAAAAAAAAAAAACATGAACGGGGTCACACCATATATACTGTTTTGCAATTTGTTGGCTTTTTCCCCTTCGTGTGTTAAGGACTTTATTTTTCATATAGGCTTGTCGCATTTTTAAATGACTGGATGGCTTTCGACTGTGAAGATACCAAAACATGCTTAATGAGTGCTTGTTATATACGGTTTTCTCTATTATGAACAACGATGCTCTGAAAAGCTTTGCGTACGTCTGGGCGTATTTCCGTAGACCAAGTTACTAGCGGTGGAATATGTGGGAATATGCTTTTTAAATTTTAAGAGCTTTTCCTAAATTTCCCTCCAAAAAGCTCGAGCTTGTTATTCTCCACCTATGGAATACGAGATCTGACGTTTTTCACGCTCTAGCTGACATATTATCATATTATCATTCTTCTAGTTTCTGTGAGCCTGGTAACATAAAATTCCATCCTACTGGTTCAATTTGAAATTTTATTTTATTTATTTTTTTTTTTTTAATTTTTTTTTTCAACGTTTATTTATTTTTGGGACAGGGAGAGACAGAGCATGAACGGGGGAGGGGCAGAGAGAGAGGGAGACAGAGAATCGGAAACAGGCTCCAGGCTCTGAGCCATCAGCCCAGAGCCTGACGCGGGGCTCGAACTCACGGACCGCGAGATCGTGACCTGGCTGAAGTCGGACGCTTAACCGACTGCGCCACCCAGGCGCCCCTCAATTTGAAATTTTAAAGTGAGGAGTGAGGTGGTACATTTCTTCATGTACTTACTGTCCTCTCGTGCTTTTCTCTGGGAGTTACTTCTTCACGCTGGGTTCTTCCTTTTCCCGTTGACAAGAAAGTTTCATAGTATATTGTCTGTCTTGTGCTCCTTATGGCGGAGTTTGCTCTACCGGTATTTGTAATTCTCTGTTGTTTGATCAACCTTTTGACCTTGTTTCTTCAGGTTTCATGTCTTCATTGGAATGATCTTCCCTCCTTGAAGATGACATCAATACAAAGAACTGACCCATGGTTTCTTCTTATACTTTTATGGTTTCAGCCTTCCCGTGTAAATCTTTGCTCTATCTGAAGTTCATTCTGATGTCAGAAGTAGAGAAGGGATCCAGCTTAACTTGTTGAATTTTTTCTATATGGCTACTTATTTAACCCAACATCGGGGCCGGGGTCCATTTTCTTTCCGGCTAATCTGAGATGATACCTTTATTGTAGATTAAGTTACCATGTGGCTGAATCTTTTGTTGAATGACTCAAGGTTTAGGCACAGGAGAGCCTTGCAGCTGAGCCGTATTGGGAGCTTGACTCCTGAGTGAAGGATACGGGCACCCAGGAGAATCTCCACGAGACTGAGAGCCGAGGTTTCTCTCTTGCCTCTGCTTAGCCTCCCCTTCCATGCTCATCTGCCTTTCTGTTATTGGTGTTACAGATATCTGAGAAATATGGATTGCCTGTGGAGAAGATCGCAAAGCTTTACAAGAAAAGCAAAAAAGGGTAAGAAAGAAACAACTTAAACTGACTTCCAAATCAGAGAAGTCTACATAGTCCCTTTAAAAAAAAAAAAAATGGTGTCTGCCTTTTGTTAGTTCTGTTTCCACCTTTTATAAAAACTGTGTGTCATCCTTACAAAGGATTGCTGAGCAGCTTGCAAACGCAGTGCATTTTGAAGATCTTTAATAAGATAGGGAGGGAGGGAGACAGTGCATTGTCATGATGCCGCCTGAGATGTCCTATTGCAATGTCAGAGTGGTGGAATAGAAGGGTCTGGAAGGGGTGAGGACACTGGGGAGAGTGGCAAAGTCAGCTCTGCCAAGTGTGGAGTGTGTAAAGAATCACATGCTACTCTGGGGTTGGTTTCAGGGTGACACATGAAGAACCAGAAGCGCTCAGGGTATAGCGAATTCTTCTGAGGTGAATATTAACAAAATGATCTAAATGACCGTTGGACCTGCTTATTCTCAGCGTTAAGAACAATAACTCGTTCATGAGGCGTTCAGTAGGTTCTGGGCCCCCTGCAAGTGCTTTATATACACTGCTCTGTTATTCCTCCCCACGCTTCCACCCCCCAGCCTTCCTAGGGCTTCCTGCGTATGAGGGTCTAAGAGTAGAGGCTGCGGGAGCTGGATTTAGTCCCAGGAGAGCGTTTCCACCGAGTCAGCTTCTGGAGTTATTTTCCTGCAGAAAATAACTTTTTCCTAAAGAAAACAGGTCTTTAAACTCTTCTCTGAGCCTCTGTCATAAAGGAGATTGATTTGCTGAGATGCTCAGGCTTTCTGAGTGATGGGTCTCTTGGTAGAGCAGGAGTCAAATGGGAGACCTTTTCCACTGGAGCCCTGTTGGGACGCTCCCTTAAATGTATGTTACAGTTTTCCTCACAGTCAGTGCAATAGGCTGAGTGTATTCCTTTGAGGATGAGATTTGAGTGGTGTCTCAAGGTCTTACTGCCGAGCAGAAATCCTTAGTGCAGACATACAGTCTGACGGCGATAATGTTTCACTTCCATCGAGCGCCATGTTAAGCCCTGCGCTAAAAACTTTAATCCTTACGACAACCGTCTAGAGAGGAGTTGTTTTTCTTATTTTTGCAGAATAAACTGAGGCTCCTAAACTTGCCAGATGACACATAGCTGTCAAATGAGTCAGTTCTTCGATGGCAAACTGAGATCTGATTTCCAAATGATGGAGAGACCCTAGAGGTTGTTGGTTCTCTTAAAACTAAATCCACTTGGGATAGTTGACCATAGGTCACACGTGGTGAAGGGCGAGCTTTAGAGCCAGGCAAAGCCAATTTCTGATCTAGCTCAGCCACGAACCAGCTGGATGACCTTGGGGAGCTGATTGACCTTCCCTGCACTCAATCTTCTCATTTGCAAGGTGGCGATGGTCACGCCTACCTTCAAGACTGCTGTGAAGAGTAAACACAAGGTCTCTGAAACCCTGAAACACATTACATTCCCAATGGGGTAGCCACAGTTCTTCATCTTTGTCTTCCTCTGACTATGGAGTACTTTTTTTTTTTTTTTTTTGAGAGAGAGAGAGAGAGAGAGAGACCACAAGCAGGGGAGGAACAGAGAGAGAGAGAATCCCAAGCAGTCTCCGCCCTGTCAGCACCGAGCCCAATGTGGGGCTTGAACTCACGAACCATGAGATCATGACCTGAGCCGAAATCAAGAGTTGGATGCTTAACTGACTGAGCCACCCAGGTGCCCCTGGAGTACTTTTTTAAAGTGTATTTTCAAGAGGCAGTATGGTTTAATGCAAACGGGGGACACGTGTAGGACCCGGCTCTGTCACTAGCTTACTGTGTGATTTCCGGCTCATCTCTCTGAGCCATAGTTTTCTAATCTATAAAGCAAGAGGGTTGGGTTGAATGCCTCCGGAGACCTGTTTAATAAGGAGTCGTGAGGTTAGTTCTGAACAATCGAGGCTTTGGGTTCTTCAGACTGGTTTCTGCGGGAAGAAAATATGAGGGTCTTCTTTTCTTGCCTTACCTCCTCTCTCCTCCACCCTTCCCAGCCTCCCTTGCCAAAGAATGGCTAGGGGAGCCCCCAGCCTGGGGTCGGTCCTTGCCCACCACTTGCTGTTGATGGCATCTTTGTTTCTTACCCCCCACCCTCCTCCCCGGCAGCATCTTGGTGAACATGGACGACAACATCATTGAGCACTACTCGAATGAGGACACCTTCATTCTCAACATGGAGAGCATGGTGGAAGGCTTCAAGATCACGCTCATGGAAATCTGAGCCCTGGTCTCGGCGTCCCCTCAGCAGGGGCCCTCGGTGCATTCCTCCCTGGGAGAGGTGGAAGCCCCGGCCCAGAGCCCTGCCCCCCCCCACCCCGCACCCCCCAACCGCTGTTACAGACTGTGCTGGGAGCCGGGCGAGGCACAGAGCCCCGTCCCTTATCAGTGTGTCTGGCCCATCCCCTGGCTCCTGCTGGAGCTAAATCCTGAGCCCCTCAGGAAGGCGCGCTGGGCCTGTCAGACACTTATTTATTGTCCACCTGTTTCTGGAGCCCTGGGGTCCAGGCCTGCCAGGACTCTGCAGGACACTGCTGGCCCCAGGTGAGACCGTCCAGAGCCCCCCCTCACCTTTCAAGGGAAACACAGCCAATCTGTTCACCCTGAAGAGCCCGAGAACGCCTCACCTCCGCTTGCCCTGAGCGGCTGGTCAGAACGAGCTGCTGCCCACTGCCGCCGTCGGGTGGGGTCAGAGGTGGACACCCGCGTCCTGGTCACAAGCCTTCAGGTGTCTCTGGGGAAGGCCGTCCTGCTAAACACGTCTGGGGGTTTCCAGTGAGTGGCCGCCAGGCCTTGTACAGGAAGACATTCGGCTACCGTGTAATTAGTAACCCAGAAGGTACGCCTGGCTATTATGTACATAGTGTTTATAATATGGCAATAATATATTTTACCTGCGGTACGTGGGCATGTTTACTGCCGCTGGCCTAGGGGAGACGCGTAGCTGAGGCTCCGCTTTCTGCGAGAGGTTTGCAGGGGACGCGCCGGGACAGGGAAGCGGCCTTCGGGCTGTCCGGTGACTGCAGGGGTGCCAGCGGGCACGCCCGCCCTGTGGGCCGCCACGCTTGCCTCCCGGTGATATGCTTTCCGGCCTCTCTCACTCTCTGAACGGTCTCGTCAGCGGGAAAGGTCGGATTGTCTGAGGCCCCAGCTCCTCCAGCTTCAGTGAGCTTTCCGGACAGACCGCATGGGGCTTGCGGCTGGGCCCCGTGCTGGGGCCACTGCAGAACTTGGTGATCATGAGGACCAGGCCTCTGTGCAGCGCCTGACAGTTGACAAGTGCGTCTTTCATCTCAAGTGGCTCCCCCAAAAGCCCAGCTGCGGTTCTGAGAGTGATGCCAACAGCTTAGCTCCGAATTCACAGGCTGGGGGGCTGCTTCCCGTGGCCACCTCTGCTCCGGGCTGCTGGATTCGGGGGGAGGGGGAGGGGGTGCCCCCAGAGCCTCCTGGCTCTTCCGAAGGGCAGCCCCTGGAGGAGGACTGGGAGAGAGAAGGCCTGGTCCTCCCGTACATGCTCTGGGAGACGAAGAGTAGAAAAAATGCTTCCCTAAACACTCGCGAAATCATGAACCGTCCTGGGCCGCTGTTCTCTCTGAAGGGACAGGTAGGTGGCCTGGGGGTTTGCGTTCACCCTTGTGGGTTGAAGCACTGGCCTTTAGGTAGCCAGACACGTCCCCAGCCCCAGGTCCTGCACTAGGGCAGGTTCTATGTAAGGGCCCAGATTTATTTGTAAAGCACTTTGACGTCTCACCCAGGGAGTTCTCTCTCCAAGGGCTCCCTGCCTCGCACCCCACCTGCCCCTGACGCCCAGAGCAGGACAGAAGGGCTGCTTCCAGCCCAGCTGTTTCTCCTTGAGGCTATAGACGATTTGGATGGAATGGACAGCGGGTGCCGCGCCGAGGAAGATGTCCGGGTGATGGTAACGGGGCACCTTTCTGTGTCTTCTGGACACGTTATCCCTTCCTGTGGTGCCAAAGGTTTGCATCCCGGATTCAGTTCTGCTCCCATCTGTTCCCTCCTCCCCCGCTCTGGCTGCCATGCCCTGGACCAGCAGCGTGGGGACCCTCCTGGGTCCTGATGAAGCTCTGTTCTGTGACGGACAGATTCAGTGTTGAAAATCTATGACGTACTCTGCACTTCGCGTGCTCTTTGCCTCAGAGGTGGATTGGAACGTGACTGGCAGACGAAACGGCAAATACTGTTGGGCTGGGGCAGAGACTCCAGAGTAGGGAAGAGATAAGATTTGGGGCGTCTGACACAAGTTACCCTACCCTTTTTTCTCTAGTCTCTTTGGGGAAATGTTTGCTGGTCTTCCCCAAGAGAGGATGATCAGAGACGCCTTTGCATTTGTTTCCAGTCCCTGAGCCATCACTGTGGTGACCCCCACCTACCAGAACAAAGAATGTGAGGCCAGTGCCACCGAAGGGTGGTGCAGAGAGAGCATCACCTCCCATCTGATCTGCCCCCCATCCTTCTCCTGCCCCCTCTGCATTCTCAGAGTGTCCATGGTCTAGCTTGGATGTATGTCAGCAGGGCTTTGAGGAGTACAATTTTCTGAGCGGAAACACTCTAGAAAGATAGGAAGACTTGCCTCTTCTCTTGTCCCTTCAATTTATTACACTTAAACAAATATGCTTCTCTGAAAAAAATCCATGTAAAATGAGGGACACGTGAAAAAAGTATTTTTCTTACACATACCCACACTGCTTAGACTTAATGGGTGTCTGGAGATTGGAACCAACAGAAAAACGCAGTCAGATGTCATCTTGGACTTGGATCCTGAAAGACTAAGGCACGTCCCAGCCCAGAAACTTACGAGGCGTGAAATGAATCAAACATTTATTTTCCTTCTTATTTAAAATTAGGAAAATGCAACAGAAACAGAGGGTTTGTGCCAAATTCTGTGAACGGCCCTTTCTTAAAAACAAGCAAGGGAGATTGAAAGATGGACAATTTGCTCTCGTGTTTTAAACAAAAGAAAAAGGCAAATGTAACTTAATAGTTTTGTAAATGGGAGAAGGGGAATCTATAAACTATAAATACAGTTATTTTATTTTTTGTACATTTTTAAGAGAAAAAAATAAATATTCATAACGTCAGAGTAAATGACAGTGTCTGGTGCTTTCTGTGAGGTGGGTGTTGGGGCTTCTTTGCCTTGTTGGAAAGAAGCCGCAGTGTGGCCTTGGGAAGATTCTAGGCCCCCTTTGGACACCTTCGGGTCCTAGACTTCAACACAGCAGGCACGTCCTCTGCCTTGTGCTCCACCCCATGGTTACAGGAGAAGAAGGCTGAAGAAATCAAGACGCCTTCACTGTGCCTCGATGGGCCACCAGGGTGGTTATTCTTGGCCGGCTCCTCAAGGCAGGGAGAGTAGGTCCTGTCCACGGGCTTTTAACTTCCTCACCGCCTCGCTCATGCTTATCCCCATGTAAGTTATCACAGGAACTTTCTGGCTCTTTAGTTCATTTGTACCAGCCCCTACAGAGGCTGAAACCACATGGCTAAAACTCCAGTTCCATCACGATGGTCTCTTGCCCCCCAAACTCCCAGGTCACTAGGATCTGTCAGCTCAGAGGCAAACAGCCGGACTCAGGATTCCAGTGTTCGTTAGCGCTTCCTCTGCCTGCCTCCCCACTGGGCCACCATGCTGTTCAGCCGTCATCCACGCTCAACTCCAGAGAGCCTCTGAACAAGCAGCATTTCTTCTCTCTTTCACAGTAAGGTAAGTAATGAAGCTACGTTATTTATTCTAGAAAGCCTTAATAGTTTGAAGCTTGTAGGGTTTTACAGTGCGTAGGCATCAGTCAACAAAATCTGATGAAGAGACCTATGCTGATTTGTTTTTCTGTTTCCTGACAGTGAAATATACACACCCTAGATACCCGAATATGTATTTTCAGCGCAAATGTTTCTATTTATCTGGAGTCACCAGGATGCTCACAGCCTGGGAGATGTCACATGACGAGCCCTCTTGAAAATAAAGAGCAGCATACAGCTCTCGCTTTAGCTTCTCTCCAGTCTTGCCTGGAACAACCCAAAGCCACAAGATGGCAAGGCCTAAAATAATCATTGGTGGTCTTTGCAAGTCGGAGGGAGGGGGCAGTGTGAGTGAGGGATACCAGCATTTCCGGTTCAGCTCTGAAGGGAGGATGGGAGGCCAGGGGTTTTCATCTCTTTCCCCCAAGCAGAAGTCTCATTCTCCAGAGGACCCCTTTGAATGTGATGACTTGGAGGAAGATTTCACTCGCAGCGTCTTGTCGACTCAGCATTTGTTAACTCACATGGAAAAGACACCACAAACTTCTACGGAAGAAATCCGTGTGTGCGACATCCACGCGGCAAAACCTGCGGTCAGTGGTCTGACCACAGATGACGTGAGAGAAGTCACCGGCCGATACTGTCCCTCGTAGTCCCTGGTGTCGCCTAGTCCATCGCTCCCGAGGCCACACGTCCCTGGGCTAGCTCTCCTGTGGACCAGCATTTCTACATCCTTCTGCATTTCACACTGTCTACATACACAGCTTTCAAATCTTGGCTGAAAATTTGCCTCAAGAAAGTCTTCTCTGATGGCTGCAACCCCAGTGGCACTCCCAGCAGCCGCTATGCCGGGACCAGAGGGCAGGGGAGAACAGGCTGGGGGAGGAACTGAGGGAGGAGGCTTCTGGAGGGATTAGCAATGGGCCACAAGGCCTTTTTGCCATGACCCATGTTCCACGGCCTCCATGGGTGGTCAAGTGGACCCACAGGTCTGAGTAGGTCCTGTAAAGGATGTAGCTGGTCTCCACATCTGTCCTGAGGCAGTCCCTCCCTTGGCCGGTGGCAGCCAAGGTGCTGGGTGTGCCTCGCCATCCCCCCGCTCCCCCCAAATATGGAACTCTGGTCAGGTAGGTGAGGATGACCAGTTGTCAGGGCCACAGGCTCCCGTCCCGGCTCTTGCCTTTCACTCTGTGCTAATTCAGTTCGTTACTTTGCCCCATGCTAGGGACAAAGAGGCAGGTTAGATGTAGTCTGCCCTCCGAGGCAGTGATGTAGGTCCAAAGTGATAGTGGCCTGGCATCAGCACAGTAATAAGGGCTCATCCTGGGAGAGCCAGGGTTCTGTCATCACCCCAGTTCTAAGGCATAATATAACCCCTCCTACCCTGAGCTCTTGTACAATGTAATGAAAAGTCACCAATGTGAAACTCACTTTGGGAAGGCTGCCAACTCGAGTGTCTGAGCCCAT